ACAAAGGAAGAATCCAATAGTAATTATTCTAAATGATATTCCTATGATAAGGTCCTCATGAAGTGTGGCTAAACAAAATACTTGGGAAAATTGGGATAGTTTATAATTTATGAAGAAAGAATGTATTTGTAAAATTTCAGCGAATGAATTCGAGGTAAATCCAACGTTTCCACCAATATTTTGTCTATATCCAGATTCTTGGAGTTGTTTCCAATCTCGTACAGGTGGGTACAGACTACCTGGTTGCGGTCCGCGTGATTATCGCAACCAATGGTTAGGGACTTTGAATGACGTCGCTCAAAATCGTTTGCAGTGGCGCAGGTGCATCCATTCTTTATCTTCCCTCAAATCCTGAAATTTTGAATTCCCCAAATTTTTTTATTGCACTGATTTATGTTTTCTTCTCTTATCGTATCTTTTATCCCGAATCGTTTTTATTAGCACTGATACTGATACTACCTCTACTATTCTGAGACTTGACCTAATCATTCCATCTCTCTGTGTTTATGGAGTATGGCAAGTTGAACCTATGTACATACGTACGGGTTCTACTTTGTGAATGACCGACCGTTTAACAGTTCAACTGGCTTATGGTTACCCTCTACCACCAATAAACCTTCATGGCACATTGACGGAAGTCCCTCAACTATTGATGAATTTGATGATCCTAAAGGTAGTCTAAGACTGTGGATGACAAACTGTCCTTATGGATTGACGCAAAAGGTGATGAAGGAATGTGATGCAGTTTTAACTGTTAAACGGACAGATATATTAGGTAGAATCTGAAATATGAACGCAATCCCATCTAAGTGATCTCAATCGTTGATCGTTCCAGTTTCTAAGAAAGGAAAAATACTGTTGTAACTTTCACGGAGGTTTTAGTTTGACTAAAGTAATTATTAACCTCCATGACCATCGGACACCTAGCTAGTGTCTGCTAAGAGTGAATGTGGGAAAACCAGGATTGTTTGAGGCCTGGACTTGGTTGTATTAACCAAATATTTATCCTTCTTCAGGTTTTAGAAAAGTAAATATGCTGACTTCGGAATATTGTTCCACTCTTTATCTTCCTCTCGATCTTGAATCCCAGTATTCATTCATACATTCTTTTTTTTGGTCTTTTAGAACTATATTCCCAAGATTTAATCTTTGTTTTTTTTGTAACGGATGCGCAGCGTATTTATCGATCGATTCAGTGACGCGTAAACACGTAATGAACGACTTAGAGTCCCGACTGGCCCTGCTTCCCTGTCTAGCCCAACCAGTTGAGTCCAGAACACAAGTCACAGCCTCTGAGATATGAATCATTGTATTTCAGACATACTCTATTTATATACTAACCAAACAGACCACATCGTACCATAAAAATAGAAACCAACATCTGTACAATATTTAACGACTGAAATAAATAACGGCCAATAGGGAATGCCCATTTAGAGTCCAATGACATCATTAGACTTACCATGATAATGATTGGTATATTCCTGAGCATCCCTAACAGTTACTATTACTATCACAGTATTTCAAACTCTTGTTTTCTGTTCATTTCGTCGTGTTAATATCATATTGTCAACTTACGTCAACGCACATCTGTCCCAGGTTTTTCATTAAATTGATTCTATTTCTAAAAGCTATACAATCATATTTATTTCAGATAGACATATTTCTTCATCAACTATTTGTTTATGATATAATTATGAAACCAATGGAAATTTCATTTTACTTCATTAAAAGGAAAAAAAAATTTGAGGGAATACTTCAAGGATTTTTTTTAAAGGTTTTTCAAACAATCAACAAATATCATACACATAGTTCCTTTTATCATTTCGAAAAGAGCAAGAACAAAAATTCTAGCAGTATAGCATAAATTCATGTAAGTAATTTAAACCCATTATGTAATTATAATTTTAAATATCACAAGTTATAAGTAGCTGACGAGGACTTACAAAGTAAAAATGAATTCATGCTATTCTCCTAGAATCTTTATTCTTACTCTTTTTAAAATCAACAAATAATCTTGAGATTTAACAGTTAATAATGTAACCTTTTAACTTCATATTTCACATACTCTAAGATGTATGTAAATAAATGAAACACATTGGAAATAGAATGCTTTACTTGTAATAATTCACATTATTGTAATACATTTCTCCTCAAAGACTACCAATTACTTTTACACATTTTTAAAATTACAAAAATAATAATTTTTATTAATAACTAAAATCTTATTCATTTAAATAGTTACATGTAATTACAAAACATATTAGAACATGATAGTCTTTAGAATAAACTTCCATTTGTTGAGAACAAAATTGAAGACATTTTCGTAGTGATAGTAAATAAAGAATTCAAATCATAATAAATGGATTACAAGCATAAGTACTTACTTTAGATGGTAACTAATAAATTGTGATAAAAATATATTAAATATTGAGATGGTGGAGAACATTTGTAGCTCAGGTGGATGATTTTGATGGAGTTTTGTTCTCTGAGCTGAATGGTTTGGTCGTGAAGCTTTCATCGTTCTTCTGAACGACATCATCAGCACAAACTTCAGATAGAAGTGAAGTGTTCGGATTTCTCCGTATGCGTTTCACAGCGTGTTCTAACCTTAAGGTCAATAAGAACCAATCAACGTCAAGGTGTACAGAACACGCTGTGAAACGCATATGGAGAAATTCGAACACTTCACTTCTATCTGAAGTTTGTGCTGATGATGTCGTTCAGAAGAACGATGAAAGCTCCACGACCAAACCATCCAGCTCAGAGAACAAAACTCCATCAAAATATATTAAATACAATAGACAATACAATTTTGCGTTTTACATATATAGTATAAAAAAACATGGCATACATTTCCACTTCAGTTTTATAAGGTTAATAACCTATCTTTATAGTAATGTAAGATGAATAACTCCAGTACCATTCATAGTCGTTTAAATAATGTAAAAAGTGTTTAGTGTCATTTCTCATAAAGAAATTGTGGATGGGTACTGCTGAGTATTTCGACAATAGGACAAAACGACCGTTCAGTGCTTCCAGGTTTTCCATGGTGGTCTAGCTTCAATTGACTCATGATCTCAACTACTAGAATTATTGTTTATTTAAGTTAAATAGAACTTATACAATACCATAGAGTATAAATGACGGGAATAGTTTTTTTTGTAAAATAAGTATACCAAAAAACTAAGTTACTGTACAATGAAAATTTAGTTTGAAATAATCAACTTACGCTGATTTTCGTCTGATCTAAGCATTTCATGCAGTTGCTTTCCTTAACGAGTTTTATAATTCAAGCCAGAACAATAAGTGAAGTAGAATCATATGAATTCGTAATTTCTCATCAGCCGCTTACAACTATATACGTGTTCAAGTATAACATAGAATGAATCAATCAAAATTAATGACGGAAGGAATTCGAGTAACAAAGATTATAAGTTATGACCTTATTAAATCTGTTCACAAGAAGTTGTAAGGAATTCAAAAACACAGGATGGGAATGAGATAGTGATCAAATCAAATCCGGAAATAGATAAGATTGATTACATGGTAGTTAATGTAATTATATTTTTCAGAATGCACAATACAAACAGCAATAGTAGTCGTAATAAACTACTGTATTTATCATTTATGTTATGCTTCAAATCATAGTAAAACTGAATGATGGAAAACTCTCCGAAAAAAAATTTAACCAATAATATGCTTTAATTTCAGTGTCCAATCACAAAAGATTAAGACTAAATTCCATTTGAATACTGAAATGTTTTCATTATCTAGTAATTGCTAACTGAATTATCCAATAATTTAGCTATCAAATGATAAAATCTTAATCCATTTTTAAAATATAATAGATAAAATATCTTGATATATATCTTAATATTCATTTGTCACATATATCACTTAACAAATTATATTTCACTAAGAAAACAGAAAAAAAGGACTTTCACTTTCAACAAACATTTACCTTGGATACTCAAAGTTCACTAACTTGAATGTATATGTATCTTAAATAAACGCTAATCAATCATTTAAAATGTAAAACAATATGTTAATAGTTCCAATATTGTTGTAAATATCAAAAATACTTAGTTTCTAATGTTGACGTGGTGTTTTACCCAAAAGTAATCAAATAACAATGAAAAAGATGTTTTTCTGCAAGAAGTTGAAAAATCAGTTACGCCCCAGTTGACTTTTAGTAGCTCTATATTTGACTACAGTTAGATAGTTTCTGTTTGTTATCGAAATATACATTTCGCCAGTTTTCGCATATAATTATCGACTTGACGGAATTAAATAAGTCGAATACAAGAATGGAGTTTGAATACTTATGTTTCATACAATAATTAATCAGAACAGACAGTCAGAGAATTGCAGCGAAGGAAGCACAGAGGTGAAAGTGAACCAAAACGAAAGGACGCACAGTGGAGAAGGTGAGTTAGCCAATTCAATTTAACCAAGTGTGAATCAATATTTATAGTCAGACAAAAACCAGTTACAGACATGTGATGTGTAAGATAAGCAATACATGCACACATGATTATATAAAAAACAGTCAGGATGAATAAGCAATAAATGACAAGGTCAAAATGTAACTCGAGAAGAATAGTTGAATTGGTTTGATCAGAAGCTCGAATAAGTTATAATGGTTCAACATAATATCAGCCACTATAGATTAATTCAAATGATTTCACTAATGATTAACTTTATTAATTAATTTTAGAGATAAGCATTCAGTAAACTGGCATAAAAATTAATGTGATATAATCAATAGTATGCGTAAATAATTGAAGATTAAATAGAAAAGTGCAATTTATCCGTATGGTGTAATACTATACTATAAATGATTACATCATAAGATAATATTCAATAGTTCATATTTATTCATTCAATATATATATTAACACATTAATTACCCATTTTAAACTTTCCTCTGGATCTACTACTGTTTATTTTATACATTAGAACAAAGAATAAATAAACGAATTCCTACATAAAGACACATGAAAATTCGATTATTATCAATTATAACAATCATTATACAATGCATTCCATCCATCTTATCAGCTACGTCGAGTAATCAAAAAGAAAGTTCATCATCTTATTATTATGTGGTACGTTCACCAAAAATTGAAAAACGATCATATACAGAAGATGAAGCATTAACACATCAGAAAGAAAAAACAAAAATTGATACTGCTATTCAAACATATACAAAAACAACAAATACATCCTCTTCACTTTTGTCTCCAGCATCATTATCAATAACATCATCATCATCATCATCTTATGGTAATAATGTGAAAAAGAATAATGGTGCATACAATGTTAAACCTAATGTAACTATGAATGCAGAAAGTATATATCAAGATAAAAATTCATTGAAATATGTGAAAACTATGAAAAAACGTCTAGAAATCAGTGAAGTTATTAAACATATACCAAAACCGACATATAATCAACAATCGAATAAATATACTGATCAGAATAAGAAAACTAATAATTATAATGATAAAAAGGAAACAAAGAATTACAATAATGTTGATAAGAAATACACATATTCTGATAGTAGTAGCAGTAGTAGTAAAAGTAATGACAACAATCATCACAATGATAAAAACTACAATAATAATAATAATCATAACGGTAATAATAATAACTACAACGATAATGATAATTACAATAACAATGACAATAATTACAATCGTAATAATAACGATCATTACAATAGTGGGAACAACTACAACGGTAATGACAATTACAATAACAATGACAATAATTACAATCGTAATAATAACGATCATTACAATAGTGGCAACAACTACAACGGTAATGACAATTACAATAACAATGACAATAATTACAATCGTAATAATAAGAATTATTACAATAGTGGGAACAACTACAACGGTAATGACAATTACAATAACAATGACAATAATTACAATCGTAATAATAAGAATTATTACAATAGTGGGAACAACTACAACGGTAATGACAATTACAATAACAATGACAATAATTACAATCGTAATAATAACGATCATTACAATAGTGGCAACAACTACAACGGTAATGACAATTACAATAACAATGACAATAATTACAATCGTAATAATAAGAATTATTACAATAGTGGGAACAACTACAACGGTAATGACAATTACAATAACAATGACAATAATTACAATCGTAATAATAACGATCATTACAATAGTGGCAACAACTACAACGGTAATGACAATTACAATAACAATGACAATAATTACAATCGTAATAATAAGAATTATTACAATAGTGGGAACAACTACAACGGTAATGACAATTACAATAACAATGACAATAATTACAATCGTAATAATAACGATCATTACAATAATGGCAATAACTACAACAGTAATGGCAATGATGGTAACAATAACGACTACTATTCACATGATTACAACAAAAACGCTGGCAGCTACAATAATGATGTAAAACATAATGCTGAAAATTACAATCGTGATTATACACGCAATGCTTATATATCTGACAATAATGACCGTAGGAATAATCGAAACTCCAATAGAAATTACATGATTAAAAATACCAAATTTAACAATTATGCCAACAGATATAATGGTAGGCGAAGAAATAATAAAAGATATAATAATAATAATAATAATTACAACAAAGCCTATAATAACCAAAGACGTTATAATGAAAATCGTAATATCGAGAATAATAACAATTACAATCGTAACGGTAATCAAAACAATCAGAATGGTTATCGTGCTTACAAGTACAACTACAATGGTAATAATAATAATAATAATAATAATAATAACCGGAATAATTTCAATGACAAATCTAATTACAATTACAATAATGATCGTAATAACCTCAATAACAAACGGATTAGTCACAATGTCAATTATAATATCAATAACAATGACGCTTACAATGGATATGATAATTACAAAACCAACAATCATCCTGAACGTAATATACCCTATCAAAATAACAATAAATATAATAACATTGAAAATTATGTGAATAATGATAATAGTAATAATAACTATCATGATATGTACAATACTAAAGATTATGAAACTAGCAGAAATCCTGTTAATTATGGTAGTAGTTATATTAGAAGTAAATTAGGTAAACCAGATTATTCTACTCCTGCAGTAAGAAGTAATGAACAAAATTATCAATCAATGCCAAATACAGCGAATGAACAATCAAACAATCAAGAAAGTAATCAATATGGGAAAGAAAAAGAGAAAGATACAGATTTTAATTCATTAGGACAAGATGTTAATCCCATGTCCAGTTTAAATCCTTTTGGTGGTTTGTTCGGTTTAGGACAAATGGGAAATGGAGGGTCAGGTTTTTAAATTTTATGCTAACTAAATGATTAACAATTACTCAAATTCATGGATATATTGTGACAAAAATATGTTTTATTTTTAAAATATCTTTCTTCAACTGATACCATATAAACAGTTAATAAAGGCTTATTTATTAAGCTAGATTTTTCCAATCAAAATGATTTAATATTTGTAATTGAATGTCATCTTTGTATGTTTATCATGTTTTTTTTCTAAGATCTGAAATAGAAGTATGAACTGATTTGATGATTTGAACACTTTTCTCTTAATTCATTCATCATTGATTCATAATTATGAAAAAGAATTTTAAATGATAAGTGATAAGAAACCACCCAAATTTATGTTTGGTCTTTTGAACGCTTATGAAGAATATACATATTACTTACTTACTTACACCTGTTACTCCTCGTGAACGATCATAGGTCGTTCACCAGCATTCTCCATCCAATCCCGTCCTAGGCAATCCTTTCCAGCTCCTTCCAGTTGTTATTCATCCTTTTCATATCTGCTTCTATTTCCCGACGTAATGTGTTCTTTGACCTTCCTCTTTTCCGCTTCCCTTCAGGATTTCAAGTTAGGGCTTGCCTTGTGATGCAGTTTGATGATTTACGTAATGTATGTCCTATCCATTTCCATCGTCGTTTTCTAATTTCTTCTTCAGCTGGAAGATGGTTTGTTCTCTCCCACAGAAGACTGTTGCTGATGGTATCCGGTCAATGGATGTTGAGTATCTTGCGTAGGCAACCATTTATAAATACTTGTACCTTCTTGATGGTGGTTGTTGTAGTTTTCCAAGTTTCAGCTCCGTACAATGGAACTGCCTTGACGTTGGTATTAAAGATTGTGACTTTGATATTGGTTGTGTATTCAAACAATTCAATATACATGTATAGCCGAAAAAATAATTACTACCTGAACATCTATGCCTGTTAACCCTAGTAGAACAACACACGTCGCCAAACAGCAAACTCTAACTTATCCTGTCCTGGGCATTTCTTTCTAGTCTCTTTCAGGTGCTATTCATTCTTTTGAGATCTGCCTCCGATTCCCAGTAACATGTGTTTTTAGCCTTATTCTTTGAAGATTTCAAGCTGGGACTTCCTGGTGATGAAGTGATTTCCGGTGATTTCCTCAATGTATCTTCTATCCACTTCCATCATCTTTTCATAATTTCCTATTCAACTGAAAGCTGATTTGTTCTCCACCACAGTAGGTTGTTGCTGATGGTATCCAACCAACAGACATTAAGTATGTTGCATAGACAACTGTCTATAAATACCTGTACCTTCTTGATGGTGGTTGTAGTAGCTCAGAAAGTTTCGCCCTAGTACAATAAAACTGTCTTGATGTTTGTATTGAAAATTGTGACTTTGATGTTGGCAGACAGTTGCTTTGAGTTACAGATGCTTTTCAGTCGTAGGAACATTTTTCTTGTTTGGCAAATCCATCGCCTCACTTCTATATCAGACCCAACTGATTTATCAGTGATGATGCCCGGGTACACAAATCTCCCTATCTCTTCCATAGATTTTCCATCAAGTCTGATTGTGCGCCGTATTTCAGGATCTTGGTTTTTTTTATCTTGTGTGCGTTCAAGCCTACTGATGCATAGGCTGCTACTACACTGACTCTCTTCACCAGCAGTTTTTGATGTATATGGCATGGAAGAGCTAGGCGATGTGAAGTCCAAATCGTCTATCTGCATTCATGCTGTCCATTGTATTCTATGCTTACCCTCAGATGTCGAGATCTTCATAATCCAGTCAACCACCAGAAGAAATAGAAAGGCTGAGTGTAAGCAGCCTTGTCTGACTCCGGTCGTCACATGGAAGGCATCTGTCAGCTGTCCTCCATTTACGACTTTGCAGTGTAGTCCGTCATATCGATTCCTTATGATTATGACAGTCTTCTTCTGTATACCATAGTGTCGAAGAAGGTTCCACAGTGTTCCCTTATTCACGTTGTCAAACGCCTTCTCTGATTGTCGAGGAAGTTGATATGTAGTGATAGATTCCACTCAGAAGACTGCATGCCAATGATCTGTAGTATCACGATTTGGTCTATGAACAACCGATCCTTACGGAATCCAAGCTGTTGATTCCTAAGTTGTGTGTCTACTGAAATATTCATTCGGTCCAGCAACACTTAGTTGAAAACATTTCCTCGTACTGACAGTAATGTGATGCCTCTATATATACCTAATGCGAATAATAACAATAAGAGATTATGTGTGCAAATAGAAAGCCCTATAAGATTAATAAGTTAGAAGAGGATTATAATGTAAATGAATTTAGATGATCAAATTGTTTTTGTTACAATAATCAAAGGTAATGGAGGGGTTAAGTGAAATTAAGTGATATCAGAAACAACTATGTATAAAATCATGAGGATTTGAAACATAATTAGAGAGAGGGGGATATTTTCATATATGAAATATAGTAGTAATAATAGTTTAAGGTCAAGGATTACTCGTAACTCTTTTGTGCACACAGTTCTGACTTCAGATCACGGGTGGTTGGAGCTTCTGATGTTTTAGGGAGTTGGGTACTAAGAAATCTAGGTAGATTTTGACGGACTGTATGCACAGCTTTAAAATCAAACTGTGCATCAGTTGAGTAATTCGAGTCCTGTTTGAATATCTGGGCTACCTATTCCCGACATCTGGATATTTCAACAAGTTATCTGTCTTTTGTCTGTTTCAAAAGATCATTATCTCAATTAATCGCATAACCTATTCAGTTAGGAAAGAGCACAACCAGAGACATTATGGTTTCTGGCAATATGTATCGAAAAGAATGTGCACTATTCAAATGTTGATTCCTGAACTGTTAACATCTAATTGGTGACCCCTCAAAATTTATCGTCAGGATCAGTTAAGAAATAAGAAACGGAAACTTTTTGAAATACTTTGCGCTGAGAATTCTATATCGTATCAAAAATATAATATTGAATAAAGCTAATAATAATACAATAGGAATAGAGTCGATTATGTGTTCAAGAATGGAACTTCTAACTGCTTTCTTCTCACCCTTGTAGAACCACACTCGAACATGTTCTCGCACCCCAGTTGAAAGCAAGTGCTGGTTACGGCGTATGTACCTTGCTCAACAACAGCAGGTGAACTGGTAGATGCATAGAAATCTTTATGTAGAAAACAGACCTGGAATGATCATTATACGAATTTCCATAGCTGGGTCCCATTAAGTAGGAAGAGAAACTTAATTCACTCACTATCCTCATGGATTAAGCGAATATGTTCTAATGATACAATAGATGACGAACTACTTAACTTCGACAAATATTCATCAGAAATGGTTATTCATCTAGATTTGTCGATAGGAACTTAATAACGAGACGACATCCTGAAAAAGCACCAAAAACTCAAAAGAAAACTTTTGTGAATGTTGAATTTAAAGGAGATACGACTGCCGAACACTTTAATAAACGGATTTCGAAATCCCTGAATGAAACACTCTATTCAGCCAAGCTCTGTATTGTCTTCTCAAACCGGCCTAACATTCACGGATGTGCCAATGACGAACTTCCGCTTTGTGCCACATCAATGTACATCTTTGATTTCTCCTATGAGGTAGGTTACATTGGCCTCACAAAACGATCACTTTCCAAACGCATATCAGAACCTTACATGATGCATTTTTTTAAAGGAGAATGCAAAACAGCTACCAGTTTGATGAAGAAGCACTTAATCATATTTGAACACGTTGCTCTAGAAGAGTCTTTCTTTAAAATAATCCACACAATCAAAGGGACTGGATCAAAGGTAGGCGGAATCAAAAGCTTATCCACTGTTGAGGCGTTGATGATCCCCGAATTCAAGCCCGAACTCTGCGTGCAAAAACAATACATCCAAACTCCCATTCTTCTTTGACCCTGATTCCCTTCTGCAGTATGTTTTGGTCTTGTTCTTTCTTAAATCATTCCTTTTTTAAGTATTGTTTTTTTTTAATTTTAAACTGTAATCAGTTATTATTGAGACCTCTATGATCATTTTTTATCTATATCTGTCAAGCGAACGATTCTTTCATAATTCTGACCCGTAAATTATTTCCATACTTCTATTTTTCTCTAACCCTCTGATTACTGCACAACCTCATTTGATATTTGGAGTCTCGAATCACTTTATGATGCAATCTTTTCTTCCTACATACATATATTTACCAAACAACTATAAATACGAATTTACATCTTAAGGAAATGGTTGCCTCAAAAATAAGATTTTCTCTGCTGAATTCTCTTTTAGATTGATATCATGAATAGATCACTGTTAGACCACCATTGAAAACCTAGAAGCACTGGATGGCCGTTTCGTCCTAGTATGGGACTCCTCAGAAGTGCACACCCACGATCCCATATGCGGGTTATGTGGTCACGACTTCTCTCTAAAAATTCAGAGAATCCATTTTGAGCTAGTCACTAGTGGGCACATGATAATTATCAGTATAGGGTTGTGAAGATTTTTGAGTTTAGATTGATATCATGAATGGATCAAAGTTAGACTATTGACCACTGGAGTTCAACCATGTCTGTTGTGAAGCAGTTACTCACTGAAGATAATGGTGGATGGTCGCGCAGTACCGTGGATTGGTTAAAGTTTTACATTAACACCGTCGGATGCCGGCTCAGTGGTCTAAAGGTTCTGGGTTCGGGAACAGCGTGCGGGATCGTGGATAATCAATATGAGAAGTAATATAACCATGTGACCTAAGTATAAAGAAGTTGCGTGTAATCACTAAACTACAGTGAAATGAATTATGTACATTAAGTATTATTTTTATGCAAATAGACCATTCAGTTAGATATTTCCAAGAAGCTATGCCTATATTAGACTATGTCAGCTATATTTGCCATTAAATGGTGTTGATAATAGTACTAACAAGTTTTTAAAATGAAGGGGCTTTATTCTACTGTCGAAATCATTCAATTTTAACAAATTTATTCTATGAAGATTTCCAATGAAATGTTAGTATTATCAAAATGAACCGTTATTTAGGAGTCTTTAAATCATATATATTGAGAACTCCAATTCGATGGGACAACATATACAGTGAAAGTCACAGTGAAACTGCGAGGCACTAAATCCATTACTCGTATTGTCTAGCCTGTAATCCAGTTCTCTATATTTGTTCGTGAATTGTGTATCTGATGTAACGTTTGTGTATAGCTTACTGATTGAGTAACCAACACATGTAGTAGTATAAATCTCGGTCTCCGTCGTATTATCCTATCATAGTAGTATACAGTAGCAGTAGTAGTTGTATCACATACAAAAGTGATAGCTTAGAATAGGTCTTTAGTAGAAAAGGTAACTGAAATATTTGCGCATTTGAAGAAAAAATAAGTTACTCAGAATTTTGATCAGGCCACCACATAACCAGAGAGATGTGAGCAGTTAGCGGTAAACACTCCTTATTTTATTCTTCAATGTATACGGTCAAGTTATATTACGGTGACGCTAACAGATCAAATAAATAACTTTGAATAGTCAATTATTATATGTAGTAAACCATATGGGACATAATATATGATTAGTAAATGATGAGTTTAACTGTTCTTCAGTGGTAACGTGTCAACTATACGATTGATATATCCTGGTAAAAATGAATGTATTAACTTATAATATTCGAGTTCAAATAAAACGGTTGTTCAATTGACTTATGATGGTTTAACTATCATAGCATCAACATTTAAAGCGATAGGTACTAGGTTAAAATCTTAGTGCGAGTATCAAAACTGAGATACAGGTAATTTCAGATAAATAGTTGAAACAGAGCATAACATTACGTCCTAGTATCTATTTTATTGTATTCCAAGTTAGCATCCTTACAATCAGTATCGACTCACCGTCCGAGTTTAATATTCGCATTAAATTATTCATATATTTTTCTACTTAAACGGTACTCTGCAAATGGAACACGGTTTATTTCCAGGTTTTTTGGAGGTTCAAATAGATAACCTAACCTTTTTTTTCTGCCTCGTAATGAAATGAGTTTGGATAAACAACGATAAGGTAGTTGGACATTTTAGGCTTATGTGTTTCGTGTATTATGGAACTAAAAGATTTGTGGGCTAAGAACATACTTACAAAGACATAACACTCATTTCCCAGATTTTTTTTACTTTGATAGTACCAAAACTACATTGAGATTAAGTAGGTATCTAATTATCTTGGATTAACTGGATTAAATCATTGTCTTTCCAATTTGATGAAAACAGGCGATTACTTTATCAATCATACTAAATTTCATTATTTTTATTTGCATTTCTAGCTACTTATTATTACGTAAGTAGCAAAACTAAAATTAGAAATAGTGTCACTTTAAATAGTTCAGCTTTTACAAGAATTAAATTTATTCACTATCTTTTAAAAGGGATTTGAAAGGATATTCATTTGAACATGACTACATATGCATTCGCAGATTCAAAGTGCAGCATATCAGATTACATAAGTTTTATTCGTCAATAGAAAATATAAACAAATGTAATCGAAATATGGCAAAACAGAAAAAGTCAATTGGGAGCACATTTAATGCACTCTATGTTAACCATTTTATGTCCAGAAACCACCTCTCTTATAACCCTTACAGGATTAAAAATGAATGTTATAGCTAATTATCATAAGCGATACTAGAGTTGCCAATGAAATTATCAATACCCGGTGCTTTTCGCAATCGAGGCACAAAGTTTAACTAGTCATCTAGTGAATCCTCGATTAGACTGATGACTAAACGAAACTAATATGAAAAATAGATTAGCACAGGTCTGCTGTTTTTTGGAAAGTATAGGTCAGCTATATTCTGTAAGTTATCAACACAGAATGTCATTTGTTCAGTATTGAATAGAGCTATTGTTATACGCACAAGATTAATTATTTCAGACTAACAAGTACAGGGTTTGCTTCCTGCCCACAGAACTGATAAACAGCCAAAGTAAATTTCGATTCACTATTACAGTATGTTTAGTATTTTTCACCCGGGTAGGTGCTTACGATGGTTTTGTATTCTATTTGAGTTAGGATTTGTCCGGAACAACAATGGAAACTTCGCATTTAAGCCACTGACAAATTTTTTCATTCATTTTCATTAGATCAGAAGATGGGACATATTGGTTGATAGCATTGTATTCCCATGGAGAAAAGAGAAGATATCAGTGTATATTTTAAAGAATTTCATAGCCTTTCTTAATGTGTGTTCAGCTGATCTCAACTCGTATTGATTAATGTATGTATTTCCGTGTAGGCAGTTTAAATTCTTACGAGAGATTTATCAAAAACAATTATAAGTTCTGGTAGAACGCTTGATTTAAAATATTTTTCTCATTCTAAGGTATATTAAGATAATACGTTAACACGATAATGAGACTATTCACATCATGTCGGATCCAGGATTCCCAACCCAGAATAGAGAACCGAAATAACACTAGATAATACTTTATTCAATACAACTACCAGCAGTCACACTCAATAAGTCAATAACAAGAAAGGAAATCACATATTTACTAATTGGTAGGTTAATTTGACTGTTTGTCTACGCTCATTGATCACCCTCAATATTATACATCAGGTTCCTGTCCAAAATTCAGCATACTATGATAATAACCATTGGTCAGTGAATATATTTTGTTTAAAAAAATCATCAATATCACTACTTCATTTTCCGTGGACGAAGAATAATATAACTTGAAGATTGACGACTTTTAATTATCTGTTTATTGTATAGAAATTCTTCATTTGATTGAATATCAACATGCTTTGACACATACGGATTGTTGTTGTTATTAGCAGCTACTTTATCTTGTTCTTGATGAGAATATTTATATAACAATAGATCACTATTATTTACTTGTTTCTGATTCATTCTAGGTGAAATATCATATTTTTGATGATTTAGTTCATTCAACTTTTCATTTGATGATAAATTTTCTATTTGTTTATTCTCCATAGATAAATCAACAGAATAATCATTCATCTTATTCTGATTTGGATTGATAAACTTATTTATATCAAATTGACTTTTATCATTATCAGTGTTATGATTATGATTATGATTATTATCATTAACATTAGATAAAGGTAAAATATGATCATATTTTTTATGTTCTGTAGTAATTTCAGTAAATTCTTTTATATGTTTCATTGTTTCACTTTCAATAGTTTTAAATTTATCAATTCCAGGAATAATTAAATAATTCATTTTAGAATATGATCTTTGATAAGATGGAAGATAATGATTTAATGAATAATCATAATTACTTAATCTTTGATTCAAATAATTGGAATAATAATAAGAATCATAATAATAATAATAAGGTTTTTGATAATTGATATAATAATAATATGGTAGAAGCTTTTTAGATGTTGTAGTGTAAACTTTTCCTTGTACTGAATAATAAATCTTAATTAGATAGTAGAAAATCAATAAGCTTATAGAATACATAATGTCCATTTAAACAAAATATAGTACAGTAATATAAATGAGCATATTTTATTGAATAAATACTTGATTTTTTTCTTTTTATATAGTTATGATGATTATTATTTGATTTTGATTTGGATCAAAAATCAAAATCGTTAAATTGTTGTCATGCACTTAATAAATATGAAGTTTGAAATCTTTTTCTTTTTTTTTTCACTGACAAACACTTTTTTCTCTCCCTCTCTCCGAAATTCATTGAAATCGATAAATATCATGAAATTTATTGAATTTTTCAATGTTTTGTCAGCTGAATAATTAATAAGATTGATAGTGGTTAGCAGTGGAATCCAGGACTCATCAGCTGGATGTTACTTTAATTATAAGTTTCCTGCAGAAATATTTTATCTCAGTTAGGTTCTTTCCATGGATAAAATGTTAACATCAACTGTATGATTATGAGTTAATTGACAATGTGTATGAACTTAGGGGGTTCTTATCAAAATAATAATGACTGAATAAAAATGTAACTCAAGAATTTAGATGAATATGACAGTTATAAAGTTCAAAGTTCTATCAAATAAACCGAAGCAAATTATCAGTTGACTATCGAATAATTGACCGAAGGTGGACAGATTAATTACCTAGAACAGAATTGTGATTATTGGAACAAGTTGTATAACATAAAATAATGAATGTTATAAAGAATGAAAGCTTTAGTCAACCGGCCAATTAATAACACTGATCATGAAAGTATGAGAGGAAGAATAAGAAAAAATGTTAAAAATAAAAGTACCTTTTTGGAATGTGTCATTCGACTGATTAAATAAACAGGGTAAAGAAAGTAATCGTATCAACATCATACGGATATATGGGCAAAGTTTGTCTATATAAATGGATTTGGCTTATATAATATATAGAATTCAAAATACCGATGGACTGGAACAGGTTAGATGGATTTCAATGGGTACATCTTACGGCTAACATTACATCAATATTATGTCCAATATGTTGTGACTGGCGGTGTCCGAAATCTGATACTGATACACGGTGTTATGAGTGCTAACACCCCAACTTACTGTTCGAGCGAGAACATAAGAGTAAACGAGAAAGTTTATCGGGCTACCGAATGAAATGTACAAATACTCATTATATATATATACCACTCTATCCTTAGGAAATTGCCCCCAATGAAATGCGCTTAACCTTTGGGTTAATTCTGGTTGCCATCGACTGACCTTGGGTTATTCCTGATTGACTCTCCATAGCACAATGTTACTAGGTGCTTCAGAATGAAGCTCCTTATCTATTCATTACTGTAGCATGAAGTGTAACGTCTAAACGTGGGAAGTTTCTTGTTTGAATTAGATTTTATGCTCATCAGCTGTCATTAACAATGGATCTCTTCAACTATAGAAAATCTGGTTCTAAATATGTAACAGTATGATCACTAACCATCATCGTGCCTGCACTTCGATAGTGAGGGAGCTCTATGGATCAACTTCGATAAGTCTTCATCAAGACATTCATTTGAATATCTCAGTGCATTGTACACAATATCATCTGGCCAAAAGGCTATCTTCAAGAAGTCATGACCGATCAAGATAAACTCATACAGTTTGCCATTTAATAATCCACTGCCTTATCGAGTTTTACCGCAGGTCATCTGTCAAGCAATGTTTAGAGTTACTGCGTGCTAAGTCATTTAGACTTCAATATTTAGGTGTATTTTACTTAGCTGAAAGATGTAGATAATTTTATCAAGTTAATGGCGATGATTGTGAAGCTTGATTCTAAATATTCTTACCGATTACATTCAGTTAATTCATTCTAAATAGGTCTTCATGTAATATCGGTCAAAATATCTTGTTAGTAACATTTCTATTGAAATTCATCCTGCTTAATTATAACAAGATGAAAAGCCTATGGCACTGAAAATATACTCGAGAAAAGTTGTAAAAACTATTTCATATCATTTCTTTAAACAAAGAAGATAGACATTCGAAAATTGTGATTACATTATGAAAGTTAGTATAATCTCTTAATAATGATGTTATCATTACACAGGATTGTTTTTGAATAATTTGATTGGTTGATATTAATGTTTTTTTTATTTTAGTAAAAACTCTTGAAGCAGTTCTCAAACATCTCATTACTACTGTCATTTCACTCTTTATTCACATGATAATTCAGTTTCTTTGTTTTACGAACTTCGTAAATATTTTTATATTGCTGTAAATTTTGCAGACGTCTCCTATTGCTCAATGAATCCGTTCTCCGATCATTATTATTATTATTATTATTATTATTATTATTATTATTATTATTATTCTGGTGATTTTCTTTCTGATGATTATTTTGTACTTCGTCGCTACAGTATTTATTCTCTATTTTATTAGATTTTATGTTTTCCCTAAACAATTTGTCCATATCAACATCATAATTCTTCAAATCAAACTTTGCATTGGAATTTCGATCAGTATCTTCAGCATATTTATTAAATAGCTCACTTAAATCGGTGTTGCTGTAATCGCTTGCGACAAAAACACCATTATTTAAAACTTCTTTGTTATTGAAACTGCGTGGTCTATCAATTTCAGTATATTTCGTAATACTATTTTTAGGTATGTGTTTAAACACTTGACTAGTTCCACTTTGTTTTTGAATCGCTTTTTCATATTTCATTGTCTCTTCGTCTATGTAACCGGATTCTGCATAATCTTGATCTTTCTCCCTAACATCGGATTGGTCATTATTATTTTCATAATCATTGTTGCTGTTAAAATAATTAAGATCTGGTCTCCTGAAGGGATCTTCATAATCTCCGTTATCTATTGAATGTTTTCCAGAAACATCATCATCTTTGTCAGTGTTGAATGTCGTTCTCTGTTTTAACTGAGTTACATATTCGGACTTTTTGTCAATCTGTGTCTTGAATTTCGGTGAAACAACTGTAACATAATCATGATTCTGCCCATTGTTTGATTTATGAGACCGTGAGGAACAGTAAGGAAACAGAGAGAAACCTAGTATCATCATCTGTAAAACATTTAAAACCCAATTCATTCTTGTTAATTTTATATCTTTCATTGATATATATATATATATATATATATATATATATATATATATATATATATATATATTCACTGTGATTATAACTATCAAATCAAATTATTCTCTTATCAAATATTGAAATAGATTACAACCTCGTAAACATTTCTATACTATGCGATGAACTATTGATCGTTATTCAACTGTTCAATATTCTGAGTAAAAAATCATGATGCTTGAAGCCTATACCAAATATGCTAATTAGATTTTTATTAAATTTCAATATTTTTTTGTTTGAATGAGTTCTTCTATGCTTTTCAGACTAAAAGATGCTGAAAAACCAATTATATTTATTATTTTATATATAAGTCAATTTAATAACCAAAACTTTTAGTCGCTTTAATTCAACTCAATTCGGAGTAAGTCAATAAGACTCGGTTGAGCTGATGATATGATGAGTATATTTATTTGACTATCTAATAAGTTATATGACAGCCAAATAAAACAACTGATAATTTAATTGAATTTCAGAACTGGTTATCTGTTGAGTTAAAGCATTTGTCTAGAGATAACTATTTTGAATGATCATATGAATCAGATTTTTACGTAACTTACGTCGTCAACCGATAAATTTCTTCGTCTATACAATGAAGATTACTAGGTTGATAAATCCATTTTAACTATCGTCAGTTAGAAAACGAAATGTAATTCTTCAAATATTTAGGTAGTCATACGTTAATTTAAAGTGATTTTCTGTCACATGTTGAATCCACAAGACCATTACAAATTTATGACTGCTTTAATCGTTAAAATCCTGAAATAAAAGACAGCTCAAATAGATGAAACTATTGCGGAAAATGAGTAAAATGCATTGAATTTAAAAACCTTGAATTGTATGGTACTTAGAAAACAAGAATCAAATTTAAATTATAAGTAGATCTATCGAGTAACCAAATAAGAAAGGAATCACAGTATTTTTAAGTAAGAAAGCCCTTTTATCGTTACATCACGAAGAGATATTAGAGGTTAACGAAAACGAACAAGGTGTTAAGTTTTTAAAATAGTAAATTCTCTCATAATAAACAAAAACGACATTAAACAAAGTAAAATGGGTCAAACTTAATTGGAACTGTGCAAGGGACCTCAAAATTGGTCTGTAAACTATTAATAATAAGATTAAAGTTTTACAAATGCGGTGCAGAAATGATTGTGTTTATTTAAACTACTTTTAATTAGTAAGTAGTATGATCATCACCCATAAAATCCAGCACGATTGAATAAGCAAGAATAATTAGAAAACTACTCAAGCACAATTTCGCCGATAACACTTTTAGGGTTACAGCCAACCCCCAGCTCAAATAAAGAGAGAGCAAAGGGTATAGGCTCGGCAACCTGATGCCGTAAGAATGACGCTGTCAAAAAACGTTAACCAGAAAAAATAACATAAATCATTGAAATTTTACCCTGGGAGTTGAAGGATTTTCAACTAGACAAATTAAGGACGCATCATAGAGGAATCCGAGATAATTCGGAAACATCAAGGCAAATGAACCTAATGGCGATAAAAAAGCAATATATGTACGTGACTTTGATGTCTACAGACAGTTGTTTTGAGTTCCACATATACTTCAGCTGTAGGAAATGCGGCCCTTACTTTCCCAATACTTACATTTACGTCTGCATCAGATCCTCCTTATTCATCGATGAAGTTACCGAGGTACGTGAGT